CATTTGTCCAATCAGAACTTTTTGTCCATGGTGTTTAGGTAGATACAGCCAAGCTAGCTCTCCCATTGGTTAGGAACTGAAAGCAGAATCACCCAGCCATGTTGTGATTTGCAGTGAGTGGGACCAATCTTCCTCGATAAGTCACTGACTGTGAATAAGAGTGGTAGCCTGAAGAATGCGTTTTACTCAGTTGTTAAAAATGGAAAACAGCAGCAGCTCTATGCCAGGACTCTTTACTGAAAGAGTCTCTGTAAAACCGCTATAAGGTAAAATTTTATGTTCATGTCTGTGGGAAGCTTCAAATAAAACATAAAATGTCTTTTACAAGTTTTAAATGTTCACATTTAAACTAAAACATTCAAAAATGTTTATGTGATGTAGCTTATCAGTAACATACTACTATTCAACAGGGACTTTTTCTTTCCTTGTTTTGACATTAATGGCTCAAACTAAGAGTCTAGCTCTAATGGTCACCACTGGTAACTTACAATATAGTTTACTATGTAATTACATAACTACATTACAATGTGGTTTTGTAGCAAAATGCACTAATAACTCTAACTATAAGATCTGTAAGTGTTAACAAAGTCTTATGCAAACGAAAAATTAGTTGATCACAACTCTGTCATCATCAGGGTCCACATGTTAGATCACAGTAAAGGCTGTCTGCCGGTAAGGATGAGCGAAGAATGATGAAAAAGCCTTGTGTTCTGATTGTGCTTCTGTGTGACAGCTCGGTGCAAAAATAGCCGAGCGGAAGTAGGGCAGCCCCAGTAAAGCCCCGGTAGAGCCGCTCTCTGCCACAGCCTTACTTTAGTCACCCCGTTTTCATATGTAAATAAAGTTTTTGCTGTGCAGTGGGACTAAGTGCTCTGCTTCTTTTTGCACTCATTCATAAGGAATGCATCAGAAGCATACCACAGATAAACACTCATGTGGAGCCCCAAATGTGCATAGAGTTGCTCATGTGAACTTTGGCATGCAACGTAATACATGTTCATTTTGAAGAGCAGAATGAAAAACATATTCTTTACATTTTTGCTACATTTTTGTCTCAGATTGGCATCAAAAGACTCAAACCAGTGACATAGCTAGAATTACATTTGAGGGGGACTGCAGGGGTGTCCAATCTTATCCACAAAGGGCCGGTGTGGCTGCAGGTTTTCATTCCAAACAAGCAGAAGCACACCTGATTCCACTTGTTTAATCAGTTGGTCTCAGGCTTCAAACAATTGATCATGTGCTCCTGCTTTGTTGGAATGAAAATCACCAGCCGCCCTGGCCCTTTGTGGATAAGATTGGTCACCCCTGGCTTACAGGTTGGAAGGGACCAGCTAGCAAACATTAAGGCCCAGAGACATCAGTATGCACCAGTTAGGCAGCCTTATTATGGCTAAAAACATTTTTAAACATTACATACAACACATGATTATTTACCCCACATTAAACTAGTTAACATTAATTTTTATTACAACTGACAGAATACCACAGCAGGTATTGGTTGATCAACACTAGGTGTAGATGTGTAGGACGAATGGCTTTTTCACAGTATTGAACTTTGACCTCAGTCAGTTACTGCTAATCACAAGCTAGGTAAGTAGTAAGTGGACTGTAGCTTATAGGTACTAGTATGTAGCCTATAGAAACTAGCACAGTAGCTTATAGGAACTAGTAAGTAGTCTGTAGAGACTAGCACAGTAGCCTATAGGAACTAGCACAGTAGCCTATAGGAACTAGCACAGTAGCTTATAGGAACTAGTAAGTAGTCTGTAGAGACTAGCACAGTAGCCTATAGGAACTAGCACAGTAGCTTATAGGAACTAGTAAGTAGTCTGTAGAGACTAGCACAGTAGCCTATAGCAACCAGCACAGTAGCCTATAGGAACTAGCACAGTAGCTTATAGGAACTAGTAAGTAGTCTGTAGAGACTAGCACAGTAGCCTATAGCAACCAGCACAGTAGCCTATAGGAACTAGCACAGTAGCTTATAGGAACTAGCACAGTAGCTTAACTAATAGGTAGCCTATAGGATCTAGCACAGTGGCTTATAGGAAGTAGTAAGTAGCCTATAGAAACTAGCACAGCTTAGCTAAGTTTTAACTATTAAGCAAAACAATAAAGCAGGTGGAAAATAGTGGAAAATAGTCATGAGAATGCAAGTGTATTTGGGAATGACAACCTTACATTTTATTTTTTCCCTAAGTGTCAGAGAACTGTTCTTTTTTTTTACAGTCATAAACAGGGGGAACCTGACTTTCAAATGGGAGGGCCTAAGCCCCCTCAGCACCCCTGTAGCTACGCCCCTGATTCTAACTGATTTACATACAGTACATAAATGCCATTCATTGTGTAATGAATATGAATGTAATTCATTGTGTAACTATGTAATTAAATATAAGATTATGTCTTTAAATAGTTTAGCAAATATAATGTCTTGACTCTATATATATCAGTAGCATCACAATAGATTACACGTCAGAGAATATATATATTTATATATATATATTGTAAAATTCCAAAGGCAGTAATGATGACGGAGGAGGGGACACAAAGTAGAAAGCAAGTGACAGGAACAATAACAATAAACGAGTGCGAGGAATGCCTTTATTCATTGAGCTATTCTAAAGATTGTGACTCATCCCCCTCTTGCCTCCTTCCTCCTCATCCCTCCAACCCAGAAGGTTTGCGTCAGTTCTCAGCACTTCCTCTAAGTGTGTGTGTGTGTGTGTGTGTGTGGGGCCTATGAGCCCATCTACTCACACGCACATGCACACAAACATGTGTGTGTCTATCTGTGTGTGTGCGTGTACAGACATGTGGCTGCTGAGGGATCTGAGCTGTTGTAGGTAATGTGAGCAGGTGCTTTGGGAGAGGAAGTGAAGGCCATACTGCTCAGGGGGAATAGACTCTGGAGGTTCGCAGATGGATATACAGTTCTGTGTAAAAATCAACCCTGTAAAAAATACCCCCCTTCATTTATTTTATTTCCAGTAAAAATCAGCCATGAAGTACAGATTTATTTATTCTTCAGTGTCAAGAAAATAAGCAGAAAACATTGAGTTAACAGAAAATTACACAGAAGCCTCAACAACTAAATATAGTATCAGATTGTCCTTATTACAGATTCCATTATTTTCTGGAGACTTGCTTTCAGTTTTTAAAAGAAATCTACAGGAATATTTTTCCAAAGCTCCAAAGTTCAGTCTTAGATGTTTGCATTTTCTACTACTCATGATCCAAGCAATCCTTAGCACATTCAGTAGGTCTGGACTTTGTGGTGGTCAGTCTATTCTGAGAACACCAGCAGCTTCTTTGTTTGATTTGCAGATTTTCTTATTTTATGTTTGTTTCCTTTTCTCGGCTTCTTGACAGCTACACATGCTTTCAGATTCATAGTGTTGTCTTCTCACAGTGGAAGGATGGACAGAAACACCTGTGGATTTCAGATCTGAAGCAAGAGTGGAGCTTGATTTTCTCTCTCAAAAATGATGGCTTTAAGTACTGTTTATCTGATTGTGGTAGTTTTGGTGGTCTACCATGTCTTTCATGGTAGCTAGGAGTCCCATTTTCCCTACATTTTTTAATCATTAACTTATTTTTTTAATTCCAGTTTTGGAAACAGTTTTTCCCCTTTTTTATTATCGTGTTCCTTGCCACTGTAAAACGGCCCAAAAACTTGCATGAAATTAAACTTTAATTGGGAAATGTTCTACATTTTTTGCATCCCTTATAAAAAACAGGTTGTTCATTGTCCCTTTAAAACTGATACATGGAAATGACCTCTCTTCTGATTGACTGCCCTACATTGTGCCTCATTCAAAAATTCAGCTTCAGTGGACTTAAATACTATAGTCTGAAAGGGCAGTGATATGTAAATGTGTTCATGGTTATGACTTCACAACCGTGAACATTAGTAATCTCTTTTCTTTCCAAAAATCAAGGCCCATTTAAAGTGGTACATTTTGAGAACAGGTGTACTATAGGTGACAGTAACAGGGTTTAGACATTAATGCTATTGTTGTCCAATGGAAAACTCAGCAGAGTCACCACAACATGGCTTGCAGAACAGCCTTTCTCCCAAGGAGCTTTTTGGCAGCGTTCTGACGTTTTACCAGTGTGATCGATGAGGCATAAATTCGCCACAGTGAGCTGAAGCCTCTGGGTGCCAAAGAGTGCACAGGTGAACAGGCTGGTTGCCATGCAGCATTTCTATATATTCCACTACGGTCTGAAGCTCCAACACCGTGCTGCTCCTCTATATTTAGCCCTTATCCAACGCTGCTCACTGCTAGCTAATCAAATGTGGCCATGCAAATTCTCATTTGTCTTTGTAATTAATGCACTTACATTTTTCTGTGCCTCTCTTTGTAATAACAGATTTGATTGTATGTTGCTTGAGATCTGAATGGTAAATTCATTAAATAGGAAACTTTGTGAAACCATGAGCTGTATGAGCATAAGGATGAGTAATTGGCCTGCAAAGTTATTTCTTTAGTAATCTTCACCAGGTTTACTTCACCAACACCGTACAGTACAGTATATTTATATATTGAGAAATTTTGCAAGTCATGGAGCAACTATGAATGATGTAGATGAGATTTACAGAGATTAGATTAGCATTTTTAGTCCCAGAGGAAGAAGGAAAGTCAGTTGTGTGACCTTTTTGGCTCACTTAGTGCCAACTCTTAAACATAGATGGAAAGGTGAAGCCATTTGTCAGTGTTGCTATGAAGGCCCAACGTAATTTATCCAGCCATGGAATGAGTGTGCTATCCTGATGCAGTTCACCACTTTTTGCAAACATAAAAAAAAAAAAGTGCATACAAATAAATTTCCTTATTACGCATACAAATTCATCTCCTCCTACAAAACACATTCTTCAACCCTACAGAGGGCGCTGTCCCCTCTTCATTCACCTCCTAACCCCTGCTATGAGGCATGCAACCAGCCGAACGTAGCCGTGCGCCTGCATTCTCTCACATGTGCTTGTGTGTTCGAAGATCCCAAAGTGAACGGCGAGGCGGCCAAGGCGGCGCTGGCCAACGAAGACTGTCCACACATAGACCAGGCCATTTCCCCCGAGGACGGCCAGATCTTTAGCCCCTGCGAACCGCGGGGGGACACCCCGTGTTTCCTTCTGAACATGGCTGGCCGACCCACACACACGGGCACCAGAGTGAGGAAGGGTACGTAACAGCTAACCTCAGCCACAGCTTCACATACATACCAACATACAGGCTTAAAATCACATATAATACACAAGCAGAGCGCACCCAGAGAGACAGTGAGCTGAAAAGATAAAAGGCCTAACAAGTAAGAGTACTGCATTCCAACAACACCGTGCAAATCTGCATTTCAGCAAGATTTTCTCCTGTAGAACTTAGTCAGCGTTCTACTAACGGGATTTGAGCTTTTATTTTGTTCATCATAATTTCGCCAACATTAATCTTACTTGAACTCGGCCATCTTTCAAACATGCCTGTCTAGATAACAAAAGAAGGTCTTTTTTCAGTTCTTACATTTAATTTTCATCGATTCCATTAGATACTAATGGATAAGAGACACCACCTTGCGCTTTCAGAGTACATTCCTCCAACCCACTCCTCTTTTCTGAACATACAATGAGTTTTTCTCTTAACGCCACGTTGCATTATCTTCAAGCTCACACTGACACATACAGCTGCCTCCTGGGGGCCAACCTTAATCTTCCCTTTTTTTCTGTTTTTTCTTTGTCGTTTGTTTGTTTTTTACTCGTTATCTCTTCCACTTGCCCGTCCGTTCGTCCGTGTATGTGTGTGTTTTTCCCTCCATCTCTCCACACCCCCACCCCACCCCATCCTCTGGGTGCCTGTTTGGCCCGTAGCCGGAACGTTCTCAGGGAGGTCAGGGGGGGAGCCGGCCGGTCCGATGCTCGGCCCGCAAGGCTACCCGCTGCTGCAGCTAGGCTGGACACACAGCCAGGATGATGGCCATGCCAGAGTAACCACCTGATTTCCAGTCCACTTTAAACTCATATAGCAAAGTGTGCAAGCCTTTTAGGACCGCATTAGCAACTAAGAGACCCTTCACTCCCTGAAGCTTGAGAGATCCACCATCTACAGCATTTCCATAATTGTAAAGCAGTGTAAGGAAACGTGCACGTGCCAGCACATTCATTCACCCACAGCCATCCAAAATATACCCTAAATTCTTTAGGTGGAAGTGAGCATAGATAAGCTTTCAGTTGAGAGAGTGCGACAAAGCAACAAGAAACAGGTGGTCATAAAACATTTCAGCCAATATCCCTTAGACCTAGTCCAGAGATGGCCCTATGTCTGTGTGTCATTGTTCTAAACGAATTATGTCACCATCTCTAGGCCTATTAATGTGTTGCACCAGAGCATCATCAGTAGCCAAGCAATAGCACTGTCTCTCTGTGTAACATGATGTCTTGCTCTGTGTGAGCATGCTCTGTTTAATTACATGTTCCCACTGTCAGAAGCAACACAAGGACAGTCAACATCCACACATAGCACACAGTGCACCTACACACATGCTGTGTATTTCTGTATTTCTGTGTTGGTGTGTTGTTTTGATTGTGTTTGTAATTGTGAGAGCTTTTTTTTCTGTGTGACGGTGTGAGTGTTCATATGTAGCCTATATGTGAGAGTGAGTGAGACTGTGACCATATGTGTATGGGTGTGTGAGTGGATGCTACTGTAAGGTGAATTATGTACTTTTCTGTGTTGCTCAATGTGATGCATGCTTTAGGCCACTCTCTGGGCCTTCCAGCATGTTTTGTCCTGCAACTGGGGCTGGTATTGGCTAGGAGAGTGAGGTCTAGAAGCGAGTATTCTAAGGGAGAACTCATACCATAACAAGTTAGATCATATTTATACTTTGGAATTGACAGAAAAACCTAGTTAAGAGTTGAGTTGACATGAATGGAAATTTGATCTTACAGTAGCCTTGATGACAGCTTTCCTGGGTCTGTGTTCACAGTGTCAGAACCCACTCATCCAATTAATTGAAACAGAGGTTGAAGAAGTTTGAATCATAGTGATCCAAAGAGCATAATTGGCCCTACTCCACCTGAGGGGAAAGATGATCTTATTTTCCTCTCCTTCAGTCTTACAGGGCGATGTTTGCCAAATCTTGGGCATCTCTTGGCTCACGTAACAGAAGTGGGCAGTTAGCGCTCTCCTCCGAGTGTGTTTATCTGTCTGTGACATTGCGTGATTGGTGGCTGGTTTCATGTGTCTCAGATGAAACATGTGTTACTAGTCACCCTCCCAGCCTGGCAGCATCATGTGATACAGAAAGACCTAGCTATCAGGTGATAATAAGCACTGACTAAATTAGATAAATGTTTGAGGGGAAATGTGATATAGTACCAACACTGCTTCACAAAATGTGCACCAATGTTCCTGGACAGCTGTTGTCAAGACCCCTATGTAATGGATTGTCCAACTGTAGTGGCAGACTTAACTAGGACCATCTGTCTTTCCTGAAGTATAAATAAACATCCCTGTCAAGGGAGAATATGACAAGCCTGCTAAGATTTCAGTATAAAAAACGTTGCCTCAGGTATACTAGACCTAGAGAGACACTTGATTATTCCAAGCCAATATAACATATTGCAAAGAACATGCTGTTTGAAGGAAGTGTACAGCTTTAGAGTGGCCTTAAAACTAAAATTGTCAGCTTTATTGTAGCATCTCTGCATAATCTACAGCTGACCTGGGCAGACGCAATGCTCTTCACTGGTGATCCTTTCCCCTACCCGATACCAGCCCAAAGCAACCTTTCCTCTGTGCATGTATGTGCTCCCTTTAACCGCATGAAAACCTGACACCCTTTAAAATGACCCATAGCTGCTGACAACAACTTGTCCAAACATAAAGACACAAAACAATCCAGAAAAGAAAGAAAAGCAAAACATGAAGCCTCTGTATCTCAGACTGCCATCTGCCCGTCTCTCTCCACCCAAACCAAGGTTACCAAAAGTCCCGGAGCATGGGCACCATAGTGGCGTCGGTATCCGCTGGGTCCCGCGGCCGCCCTGCTCTCCTGCAGCGCTCCCATTCGCCCATTCCCTCCATCCTCTAGGGAATGAATGGTGGAGTGGTAGGGAGCACTCTCCCTGGGTCAATCCTACTCCTAGAGTCCCATAAACCCTTCCTTGCTACTCCCATCCTGTCCTGCAGTGTTGATCTGCTCTGTCCGCCTCTCTGGTCATCACCCCAAGGAGTTATGCTGCTGTCCCCAGCTTCTCCCCCTTGTCTCAATGGCTCTTTGTCACTGCTGTTTGTCTTGTCTTTGCCTTCAGGCTTATGCAGAGCCATTAGAGAGAAAGCTAACGTCAAAAGAATGTTCAGAAGTTCTCAGGGAAAGTGTAGGCCAGGTTATTGTACCCTATTGTCCATCATTTGACTCAGTTACAGAGTTTACATCTGAGATTAAACACATGCCTGAGGTTCTGTCTGATCCTCCCTCTTTATAGTAATTTTTTGCACTGTGGCCCTCTTTTGTTCACCAGCAGACACACATGCATATCCATGCAAACCTACACGCACTCAGCTAGCCGAACCTCTACAAGAAATCTTTTGAATGTAGTCAGTCAGCGGCAACCTGTAGCTTCCTCCAGTCCCACAAGCCAAGATTAAAGCCCAAGATGTTTTCCTAGACATCCTGCACCTCTTCTTTTCGTTTTGTTTCTTGATCCAACCTACTCTGGCCAACCTACCCTGCTGCAACCCCCCATGCCCCCCATCTTTATTCTCCTTTACCTGCAAAATGGGTCATCAGATATGTCCCATCCAAAGGTACCTGGTAGCAAGGCCCCTCAGAAACGTCTCCTGCATGCCAGAGACTTCCGTTCTCCTCTCTCTGCTATCCCCAGCAACTGTCTCTCTCTATTCTTTCCTTCTTTCTGTATGTCCCTGTCCATTGCTCTTTCTCTCTACTCTATTTTTTTGTAATCTGGATTGTGAAAGAAACCGATGCTGTTCTTTCTGCCATAAACCCACGTCCGTGAGAAGTCTCTTCACATTGTTGTTCCTCCACCTCCTCCTGCTCATTGTCTAAGATGAGTTGAATGACCAAGGCCCAGTGGCAGGATGACCTTCAGCAACCCCACCTCCCCTGTATTCTCTACCGCAGATCCCTGTAAAGAGGAGACTGTCCTAGTTAAGTATATGCAGTCAGAAGTGCTCCGCGTGACCTGAGAGGGACCACAGCGACTCAGGGAGGGGAACTGACCCTAGAGTTTCCCCCTCTCCAGCGTTTCTTGGCTCTACAATGGCTTGAGAGCTTTGAGGTCGCTTTCCAAAGGAGAGATGACATATAGAGAGAGAGAGAGACAGAGAGACAGATAGAGAGAGAGACAGGACAATGGATATTGGTAGTGGAACAAACGATTTTTCTTCACAAAGAACGAGTTTCTGCATGATGATCCCTCGAAGGCACAAGGAGTCTCATTGACAAGGACTCTTTTTTAAAAGGACTAAAGGTGTGGACAGTGTATCAACACCGAAGGCATCGTACAATCTGTTGACAGGCTTGACAAGAGTTGGAATAAGCTTAATAATCAATGGTTCATTATAGCCACTAACCATACTAATGATATTACCTACAATGTCCTTGGTGACAAGTGTAGAAGACTCTTAACAGTACATTTTAGCATGAGTTGCATGGTGGTATATAAAAAAGAAGAAAAAAAAAAAGAAAAATGCTTACCGCTGTTATGAATATCTGTATGAAAAAAAAAGATATATTTTCTTTCAGAAGTTCTTCACTTTTGCATACATTTCATGTAGCCATGATTACAAGATGTTCAAAGACAGTGTACTTCTCCTTAGCAGCAAAATCCTTCACGTTTTTCTTCCAAATTTTCATTTGTGCTACCAACCACATGTGAACCAGCTCTGGTCATATTGACCTCAAATTCTGAATGAGAGACAAGTGACTGCTGAGGAAGACGGTAAAAAAAAAAACAAACAAAAAACATGTTAGCAAGCTTTCTATGTGGTAAATTCAACTTTTTCATCTTGTTTCTGTTTGGCATGCTTGTGATACTGGATCTTATTGAGCGAAAAAAAAAAGAATTCAGAGCAAATTTAGTTGATATTTTTCTGTTTTATGCTATAATTATTGGTGAATAGATCCTGTGGAGAGCTATAGTGAGCAACTGTTTATTTCACATATTAAGTACAGACTTTTGACAGTGTTATTTTTGAAAAATAAAGACAAAAATGACAAAAATGGCATCATGTTAAAAAGAAGGAGTCAAGATGTGTTTTACACATCTTTTCTCTCATATCTTTTTTCTTTTAGGTACAAAAATGACTAAAATAATAAAAAAAGAAGACAAATGTATATTTACGAGAGAAGAGCACTGTATGCAATTTAGAACTTGGGGGGGGGGGATCAGATGCATGCACAATGTTATGCAACAAAAGTCGATAGATACAAGAGAAAAATGATTACGATTCTAGCATGAAATAAATTTTGTATGAAACCTGTTAGTAGAGTTTGATTTTTCATTGAATGGAAAGGAATGTGTTGGTTATGTTTATTTTTTATTTGTTTGTTTGTTTGTTTTTCTCTGTTTCTCTCCTGGTATGTGGCAACACTCTCTTTGGCCTGGTGTTCAAAAGGGCAAAAAGAGGTCAATCAAAAGGTCATTGAAAGGAGTGAAAAGAAGAAAACAAGAAAATGGGCTTCCCAGTGGAGTCAGCATGTTCAACTGCGCCAAATGAAAATGAACTAAATGCATGAAAATGAACTAAACCATTAACATTTTCAGGGAACAGCGGGTGTACACGCATGGTTTGAACGTCGCAGCTTTAACTTGGGAAACAATGAACATCTGTTCAGCACAATGTTGTATGCATCAGCATGGGAGACACACATGGTCAAAAGTGTATGCTTTACCATGCTGTGTCGAACAAAGCGCATCAGCCTGACCCTCTGGTCTCCTTTCATCTTTCCTCCTGCCTTCATCCCCTTTCCTTTTCTCTTTTCAAGTACCATCCACCACTTCGCTCACTTGTCTGTGTGTGCGGGTAATAACTGTTGTGTTGTCTCTTTTCTTTCCCCTGTCTGTAGAGGCTCAGCGGCACGGCCGGAGCAGGGAGCCCGCAGACTCTGTTTGTGTCATGAACCGTGGTGTTCCGACCACTCTGTGCATGGCTCACAACGCTCCTCCCCCCACCTGATAACTTTGTGTGTTTATTGTAACTTAGATGGGTGGCTAAAATTGGGAAGCAGTTTATCATGCAGTTCACTCCTTTTTCCACACATAGAACCTTCTAGGAAGAAAACTCTGCTGTGTTTGTCGCATTTCTTATTGTTGACTGTTCTACTTGTGACGTGAGCAAGGATGGAGTGTGTATTTGACTGCATGAGTCTTTAGATTTGTGTGAATATCTGTGTTGTGAACAGGCTTTTTTGTGTCTGCTTGTGGTTTCCATTGAAAGTGTGGAGCGATGTTTCATTCAGTTCCTCTGTCAGAGCTACCCGCTATCCCACCTCTATTTGTCAATCACAACTTGAACCATTCATGAAGCTGCCTTTTCTGATAGATGTTTAAAGTGTTGCTCTTACTGTTATTGCCACACATGAGTTGCCTTTTTTTGCAGTTTGCACATTCTAGCCGATATGTTCCTTTAAGCCTGGAAAAGACTGTTGGAAATTTTGAAAAAGAATGCAACTTAGAAATTTTACATGCCATATAAGATTATACTAGTTTACCTGAACCTGCATCAATTCTAAAGACACTAAAATCAGTGAAAACAAGACCTCACCTTGTTGTGTAAGTGAATGCAAGGTAAAATCTATTTTATTCTTGCATGTGTTTTATATCGTAGGATAGCAAATCAACTATTTAAAACTGTACTTCTTTAAATACTGCAGCAAAGATGGTTGAATTCTTCAAAATCATCCTACCGGTCAACTTTTGAGACAAATATGCAGTCTGTAATGTATCTTAACAACATGGTTTGTTGAAAGCTACACTGCCACTGCTTTCAAAACACCACTTAGTATTATCTGAGATTGAATATCAGCTACATATTGGAAATGCATGTGGTTTCAGAGCACAATCAGACAAGAACCTGAATTATGTAAGGAAGAATTGATAACACTTTATTTGAAGGCTGCCAACATAGATATTTTGTAACTCATAAGTATTGAAAAGCATATTTGTAAAGTGATATTGGAGTATTTATGTACAGCTTATGCCAGAAATTGCAATGTGGCAGATGTTTTATGAAATAAATGACTTTGTATTAACATAAGGGACCTTAAACTAAACTATAGTTAAGAACATGTCAGTGATGTCAACATGAACAACTGATTCTGTCTCCTAAAATAATAGTCAGAAATAATATAAAAACTCCAATAAGTAACAGTACATTTACTTTTGTTACTTAAAAACATTCAGGTAGGACACTTCTTACTTGCTATATATATATAACAAAATATGAATGAAAATGATCAAGTTAGTTCAGAGGCATCAACATCCTCCACCAAACTGATATATGGAGCTCCTTACTTGGGAGTGATACTTCCCAACAATGTCAAAAATGGAGCAAATTTCTGCCACTTTCATTTAATGCCCCTTATGTCAATATAATGTACTTCATAAAACATTTTATGTCATCATGCGATTACTGACATAAACCTTTCATACATATTTGTGAATTGCTTTATAAATACATTATTCAATGCTTATGCATGTGTTATGGAGTTCTGGTGTAGCCTGTTACAGAAAAATGTTAGAAAATGACCAGTTATAGTCTAGATGGGTTTATGAAAGATTTTCTCCTCTAAATAGAAATTATAAAGGCAGTTTGTGGGGCTACAAATAAGTGATTTTCAGTATTTGCAGCAGTTATCCTAAAGTACTAAGGTGGTTCTTGCCTTTCTTTTGCAATACAGTCATCAATAGACTAACTGCCATGCAATACATAAACACAAATCTAACCTACTAAACTCTTGAGCATATTAATTCAAGACCAGGATATTATCTAGAGATAGATTATTATTTACACCTACATGCATACACACATGCATTAAAAAAATGAAAAATCAAAATCTGTTAATATTATGCTTGTATGTGCCTATGAGTTGCTGTTTTCTTGTCCTATGTTAGGTACCTGGAATCCATTCAGTGGATTGAGAACAAATCTATCTATTATACTGTAAATGAAAGCAAACAGCACGATTTGCAAATATATGATAAGTTATTGACATACCTCAGCTCAACACTTTATAATGAATGTGGTGAATTGAAAAGATGCCTTGTACAGTGTAAATCAGCATGACACTTCACTTTTCTTACACTGATTTTTGAATTGAAGTGATTCTGAAGCATTTGCCTTAATAATGCTTCAAAGCCTCAGTCAGAAATTGCCACAATTGGCGGAACTATTTTAACACTTTTTGGATGTCATGAACAAGCATGTCTCTGTTTGTACAGTCAGTGTTCATCTGGAAGTGCACTGCTGTTTAGGCAGTTCCTGACTGGGGCTTTAAAAAGTATCTTATGGAGATGGAGCAATAGAAGAAACCTGCAGCAGAGCTAATAAAGGCTACTTTTCAAATAGGCTCTTTACTGCAGACGTTTTTAATATTTTTTGTTACATTTTATGATTTCAATAAAGAGACACTATGAAACAATATGAAGAAACAAGAATAAAACATTTCAGTCATTCCATGGTGTGTAGTTGTTTTTAAATTTTTCTTGTTTATTCTTGTTTATTTCGTTGGTTATTTGTAATGTTGCTCTCCACAGGGTGCTGCTTATTTCTTTTTTTCCCTCTATTTATTTATTGATTTATTTATTCATTTATTTGTTATTTTCACCTTTAAAATATGGACTGCATTATCTGTAGAGGAGTAAAAGTTCACTGTTTGTTTTATATATCACAAGTTCTCTTATTCACCTTGCTGTTAGATGTGCATGTGTGCATGCGTTCTTTATTCCTTGTTCTATTGCTGAGCTTTGATCTGTTCAGACGCTATGGCAACCCAGATACCTAATACAGTTACCATAGCAACGCAAGCGTGTGATCTGCTCTCAAGGGCGGCCTGTTTCTCCCATGCCTCTGTGCTGCATGGTTGTAGCGTTCTGAATCTCTCTCTCTCTATCTCTCTCTGTCTCTCTCTCTGTCTCTCTCACTCACACATGCAGCTTATATGCCAGCTGTTTCACTCTGCAAAGCACTCCCCATTTCTTCCTCACCAACAGAGACTGGACCTGTTAAGTGCTACAGTTATATTACTGCACCATGTTCTTTAATATAATTAAGCCCTGATGTTTATAGTGAATCAAAATCATAATGCATTTTTCTTCTGTATTGTGACATAGCTCCTTGTGAAACACAATATCAGGGAGGGTCTCTGAGTTAGCTGAGTGTTTCACTTGATAAGTGGGAGTGATAGGAGAGGCAGGTGAAACATCATATTTCACCTCCTCTGAGAAGACTTTATTATGTTTTTTCCCTTTACATTGTTTGTAAACACTTTGTGTATTTTTTTTATGATATAATCATCATGGTTGTTGTTTTTAAAGTTTGCAAGTATTGCACTAATACTCTTATTTCAGTGTCAGGCTTTTGCTGGAAACAAAAAGGTTACAAGCTTGAAACATCCAATGGAATATTGTCCAATCAGATTTATTTTCTCTGTGGTATCTATGTAGATAAAACCAAGTGAGGTCACCAGTTGGTGCTTCAGGGGCTTAAATTAAGGCCTAACCTGTCAGATTAACTACTAACATAATTAGAAACTAAGAATGGAATCAACCAATCACAATTTGATTTACAATGAGTAGGACCAGTTTTTTGAGAAAAAATTAATAGTGATATCCTGATCAATGTGTTTCAGTCAGGTGTTAGAAATAGTAAACTGCAGTCTTGTGCCAGGGCTGTCTACTGAGTCACTATTAAAGTACATACTAGAATGGCCAAAAATGTTCATGTGAATTGATTCTAGCTAACATACTACTAGAATCCCATAGGGGCGCCAGCAGAAATTAGCATTACTGGGCT